CTAAAGTTTAATAAAAGAAACTGTTTTTTTGATCCAAAAATGCATAACATACACCTCTGAACATTCCTTTAGTGCAAACATCACACCCAGCCTACAAGTGAATAAACCCTCTCCTTTTACTGCTCCCCCAGCACGTCCCTTGCAGCCCTAATTGTGCACATAATTCCTGGACTAGGGACGATGGGGCTCATGCCATGCTCTAGGATCTATAGGATATCTGTCCTGGAATTGTCCTTCCCAATTCCCATAATCCTTCACAGCAGCATCAGGAACAACTTGCTGTCTCATTATTCCAAATCCACACCTGATAAAATTTACCATCTCCCGATCCTTCAGTCTCAATCATAACAGTAATCTGAGCCAACCCCTGCCCTGGCATAAACCCTGTCTGTGGTTTACAACATTAAACCTCGATGAGCTGGACCCAGCACATCTTGAGCGAGATCCATACTGTTCCTGGGTGCAAGTTTATAGGCAGCAGAATTACAGGACATGTAAGTCTGGGAGCCTTTAGCCTCTTAGAGGGATTGTAACTGGCCCAGCTCCCTAATCAGGGATTGTTTCCATACCAACAGCTAATCAGGGACAGAGCCTGCCTGTCTTAGGAACAGGTCTGAGGTCTTAAAGCCATAGCTCAGGTTTGCCCAAAAACTTCACTGTCACTCTCCGTGGACTAGTCTAACTTAAAGAAAAAGAAGACATCTTTTTCATAAGAAAAACAAAGGAAAAGTCTGGCTAGCAACACAACAACCCATTGCAAATGTACACACACCTCCAGCACTCTGCAGGACCTTTGTTTTTGGTGGTACAGGGTTTGCTTTTAATGGATTACACACAACACACCAGCTCTGCTGAGGACCTCAACTAATTTATAGCTCCAGCTGAGACGAAGTTAAGGGGAAAAAGTTTCTTTTGTCTACAGAGTTATGTTCAAACCATATTCTCACTTCATCCCGGTGTCCAGCTCAGAACTCTTGCTGTAAGAGATCAAAAAAAAAAGTGCAGCACAAGCAGAAAGAGAAAACCCAGGGCTCTTGAATCTCCAAGAGAAAAAATACCTGAGAAAAGAAACTGTGCTCCAGAAAATTACACAGATTCTGCAAAATCACACAGCAGCAGAGCTGGGAATAGGAACCTTGCAGTTCTCAACCTACCACCTCACACCAGGAATCCTGCTGTTGATAATTTTTTACAGTGATTCACAATTGCATCCCTGTTCAGAAAGCCATCCTCTGAATCCTTGGAACCTGTGTCTTAATTCTTTTTGATGTATGTCAGCTAAACGAGGTTCAACATCCTCTCTATGCATGAATTTCTATTCAGGATTATTCTACACTTCTGGCTCTGACCAAATGGTTCTGGGATGATTAAAATATTTCCTTTGTTTCTAAAGCATTGGACATTGATACAGAATGTCAGAGTATTCTTTTCCCTTTGCAGCTCGTTTATGAACACCCATCTGAGAGAACAAGTGAGGCAGAACAGTTCTGAGTGGCAAAGACACTTGATGGAAAGGGAGCTGCCTTAAGTTTCACCCATGATTCAGATTTGTTTACATTTGGTGAAACCTCAGGAAAAGCAGGATAAAAGCTTTGGTTCAATTGAAGTCATGTTGATAAACCCCAGTGCTAATAATTAACTCAATTATGCTGAATTAATTTGATGTAATTACTGGTGATGGTGCAAAGGCAGCGGCCCAGAGAAAGTTTGAGAGACAGGAGGAATAGAAGTCTTAACAATACAAAATACCCCATAAATAGCATGGAGTTTTTTTGCCAGAATGAGTCAAAGACACAATATGAGTTCATTACAGTCATCTGGCTTCACTCAACCCTCCAAATTACGCCAGTACCCAGACAAATAGCTGTGAAATCCAGCAAGTGCACTAGAATTAGAGCAGGCCCTGACGAATTTGACACAGCACTCAGCACTAGCGTCTGTCCCCATCCTATTATCTAAACAATGCAGATTTAATAATATATTTAAGAGATCCACAATGCATTTCTTTTAACTGAAGATATTAATTAAGAACATTTTCCTGTTGTACTGTTGTCAGTTGAGTGGTTTTTTGAGGAACAATCTGGAGGATGCTTATGGAGTCTTTTCATTTGATCTGCAGTTTTTATCTAGTATTTTCAGACTTATTCAGTTCAAAACAAACAAACCCCAACTATAAAAACCAAACATCTATCTTTCTCCTTCCCCATTTAATATTTCTGTGATTTGCTTTGAAAAAGTATAACAGAAATGCTTCCCTGCTATAAAAATACACACGTTTTACTGAGGCTTTTTTAATGCAGCATCGCTGTATTGAGTGTTTCACAGTCCTGAAGGACCACTGACATCTAACCATGGGACCTGGGTGCCTTTGCTCTCTGGTTCCGTCTGAAATGCTGCTTGACTCACGTCTGTCACGGGGCTCTAAGTACACAAGCTTCTAAGCCTCCACTGCATTTTTATCCTTGGTGACAAGAACAAAGATATTACCTCTAACATCACCAATTGCTTCTGAGGAGAGATTCCAAGTACTTAGTGGTAAGAAATGAATAGTATTTTTCCAATTTGCTAAGCAGCTGCTGCTTGCACGCCCCTAGATCACATCCACACCAGGTTCTGCTGGTTCTCAGACACAGCAGATCTTTCAAAACTTGGTTTAATTGCCACCAGGCTCTGATCAGACTCATCAGCTCAAAGCAAGTTCCATTACATGCATAATTTATGCATTTGATTTCAACAGATCATTTTGTGCCTGGTTCCAAGAGGGCAGAAAGTGTTTTCCATGGGGAAGCTGCTAACCCTTTCTGCAGAGCAATTTTTAAAAAATGTTCTTTCTGAAGAGACACCACATTTTAAAGCAGTGCGAGGGATTGTTTGAAGTCTCCTACATTTGTTTGGACAGCTACTCAAATTTTCTCTGTGCCTACTTACCACCATCCCTTTGGTTTAGTGGGCTATTGCTGGAAGGGGAGCCGAGCTCAGGGGAAGGGCAGGCCTGTGACAAGGCAGAGGGAAGAACGGCCCCCATCATTTCAGCCTGCACAGGGGAGGAGGTGTGGGCTGACACATCCTAAATGCACTGCACAGGGATCTGACAGGGCAAGGGTGTCTGCGTAAAGGAGAAGTTCATCAGCCTCTGCCTTCCACCACTCTCTCCTCCCCCAGAACTCCCTCTGCCCACACCCTGGCCCTCCTTTGCTGTTCTGCCATCACAGCCTTGATTTTCCCTTTCATGGATTTTTGCTTGAAAAAGCATCACTGCCTTGATTGTCTATTTTCAGCCTATATTTAAGAAAACCCTTTGGTTCCATTTGTAGCCACATCCTGTTTCAGCCTCCCCCTCTTTTTGTTCCTAAATATAAGGCTGATGCAATTTGATGTGACATGACAAAATAGCACATTTGCATTGGCAGAAACTTTCTCTCAGCAGCAGTAATTAAAGGGAGTAGATGAGACATTGCTGAAATTGGTGTTTATTTAGCCTAGAAATAAAAGGTTTAAAGATGTCTTGAGAGGGATGTTGGAGTGTGTCATGACCATGACAGTCATCGATGAGTGTTGCCTTCCATGGGCTTCTTTTCTGCCAAAGCAAATGGTCACTCAAACAACGTAATCGATTTAAAGAGAGTTAAAAAAAAAAAAAATCAGACTTCTGTAGACCATATTCCTAACCAGTGAAAATTATTTCATGTGTTTCTTGGGATTATAAATAGTACCAGGACACTTGTGGTTACACGTAAGACAAGGTCAGTCTAACTTCAGAGCACAGGCTCTCTCAAAATGAGAAGAGAACTAAGTTCTCATTGACTACAGTGAGAATTAGGTGCTTAAACACCTGAATTTTTGATCTGAGATGCAGCAGCAGAGGATAGGTACTCATCTGCACCTACAACACAGATTTTGGTTAATTGTCAGAGATAGGAATCCAGAAATGGCAGCCTGAATGCTGTGGCTTCAACAGGATTCACACAGCAGATTAAAACTGCATGTAGCTATCTCATGATATAATTATATCTCATGAAATAATTTACTGTGCCTGGTTTTGCTGAATGTATGCACTGCAAACACCTGACAGGATCTGGCACTGTCAGCTTCCTGCACTCTATTCCATTACGAATGGCAGCAGTAGAAGGCAGTGGTGGAGGAAGAGCAATGTTTGGAAGTTGAAGGGTTTTTCTTGATTTTTAGAATGTAACTTTAGTTTATTTAATCCATGTGAAGAATTCAGGGCAAGGTCTGGTGGATGTTCCATAGGCCACAGGATTTAGCAGACATAACATGGTTTCAAGTGAAACTTCCTGCTCTCAGGAGCATCTTCCCTCTTTCCTTGTGCACACGAGGCTATTCCTCAAAGCCCATCTGTGATCAGCCCCAAACCGGCAGCCCACGTTTTGAGCAGGCTCGTTTCCATCTGAACACAGATGGCACCAAGAACAGGGCAGGCCAGAAAAAAATCAGTTTGCATATTATGCTTCAGTTTTTATGGGTCAGATTACCATTCAAAGCCATCAAAATGGCAACCCATATGTGATGTGTCTGCCATTGGAACTGAAGTGATACACCATCGTAATTTTAACGGGGTTGGTTAGAAAAGGTTTGATTAACCATTAATTAGCCTCTGATATTTAAAAGTAAAGACATTTTCCTTCCCAACAAATTTTTGACTTTGACAGATCAATAAAATATCTTTAGTGAGTCAAAAAGGAAAAGACATTATCCCATCCTCATCCCTGAACAACGCATCAGCTCCCTTGGCAGAAGGGAGTTCAGCTCCGTGCCAAATACTCTCTTCCTCAGTGAGCCAGGTGCAGATGTTGGCTGTGTCATCTGTTCCAACTTCTTTGTTCTACAAGCCAGAAAATCGTTCCCACAGCTTTGGGGGGAAAATGGGGATACGAAGAGCTCTTTGCATACTTTCATTGGTGGAAGAATAGCAGCTGCTTTAAAGGCAGTCTTGTAGAAATAAGAAATGTCCTTAACACCTGTAACTATTAACCAGCAGAGGGCTGTGTCCTAAGGACCCTCAAGGGATGCTACCACAAGATCAAAGCCATGGCATTCTGTTTCCAGCCCCCTATCCAGCCCTGTCTCCCTGCAGTGCCAGCTACAGCTGATTCCCTGTTGCAGGGGAGCATTCTCCCAGATGCTGCAGAAGCCACGCTGCTACAGGGACAGACTTTGAGGCAGGCAGGTCTTCCCTGGGAGAGTCTATTGAACAGTAAAAGGTATTTAAAATCTGCTTTCATGCTATCATGGCACCTGGAACTCAAACAGCTGCCATGCTAACTAAGAGCCAGGGCCACTGCCCTGTGCCACTGCCAATGGGAACATTCTTCATTCCCAAGTTTTTCCCCCCCCTCTGACCTCTCCACATGATATTTTGGTCAATGCTGATACCTGAGGTATTTCTTCTCAACCAGATACAATACACACAGCAACAGAGATTGCCTCCACCATGACAGGATTCCTGACCTAGCCGTAGTCCTGACAGAAGTATGAAAATATTGTTTCCTCTGGTATCTTTACTGGCAATTTGCAATCTAGGTTCTGCTGCTGGAGTCATCAACGTGGCTGGACTGCAGACAGGGTGCTCCTGAATACAAAAGGCTGGTCAGAAATATTTCCTGCAAACATGTACGGTCATATATATCAATTTTCCACCAACTTCATTTCTACCATTTCTTCATGATTTGGCATTTTCACCTTTTTCCCTGTGTGAGGCAAATAGGCTCGTAATGATTTCCATAAAGCAAACAAAAAATCACTTACAGCATCCAGAGCAAAGGAACTTTAATTATCTTCACAGATTAGGTCTGTCCATGTCCAAAAGTAAGCGAGAGACCTGCAGAGAAGAATCAATTTTCATTATCTGCTTCTCCTCAAATCACTACTTAAAGTGCCATCAATAAAGCAGTGCCGAGAAGTCCATCCAAAGCCCATTTTATCCCCATGGAAGCTTTCACTTTTGTCTGACCAGTTATCTCAGACATCAGTGTACAGCCTTGACACAAACAGGTTATTGCTTTCAGTCATCTACTCAGAAAAACTTTAATAACCATACACTACAGAAAGATTAAAGTAGATAGAAATTCCAAAGCACTGCAACTGAACCTGCAATATTTCCTGATAAGAGTTGCCGGAGATAAAGCATTTACCTCATTTAGAAAGGTAAATGACACAGCAATTACTTTACAGCATTCTCTTTGACACATTTTAATTGCATGCCCACACTGTTACACAGTTGCACCCCGGTGTGGTTTCTGGAGGACTCTCATTTGGCCCCTAACAGGAGAATTCAGGCTTCTGTTTCCCACCTGTCTGACCTTTCAGTGACCTGCATGAGTTTACTCCCCTTCTATCGGGTTTGGCCCAGACAAAAAACTGCTCCAGACCCAGGAGACAACTGAAGGCACACAAGAAGCTCCTCTTTATCAAACACTCAACTGCACAGTGAGTAAAGGAAATCAACACATTCTCTAAAGTCAACACTGATTTGTTTATTTAGAACCTCTCCTAAGTCTGTTATAGTCAAGAGAACAGATTGCTTTGACTATCCAAAGACATCTAGATCGGGTTTTTATCTCAAATCATCTTGCAGAGACTTCGAAAAACTACTTGAAACAAAATCCTGGAAGATAACAATGACAAAGACTCCAAACTGATCTGTTCTGCCTCCCTTTGAAAGATGCAAGTCTTTGAAAAATCTAAGGCGAAACTCCAACCTCCATTTACAAACACCTGGATCAAAGGTAACTGTTGCCATGGATGACATTTTTTCCTCCAGGTTTTAATAGTATCATACCTTGGTGACACGCAACGGTTGACAGCAGCCTGGGATGTTCAGGTTTTGGTATCTAATTTCAGCACTTCTATTTGCCCTCTGAAGGCCCTATCAGGATGCACACAGGCAGATTTCCTGCAGCAGGTGATGTGAAACAAAGACCCAGAAGAACAGATGCAGCTTTAAAAGCTCATCCTGAGTCTACTGATGCTTTCTAGCTCTGGTACAACAACTGAACACCAAAAGCTGCCCTATTTTCATCCATTGTCTAAATTTTCTGAGAGCAGATATGACGTCTTGTAACTACCTTGGCTCAGTCCTGCAGAAAACACCTCTTACTTAGCATTGTTAATTAACATTTAGCAGATCCACATTTAGCTCTCCCACCAGGACACTCAGGTGCCCTTTCAGAAGTGCCCTGTCCTTCACTGTTAACTTGTAGCCAATGTAATACCCAAAGAGCAAGGCAATTAACTTCTCCTTAGGCTGATATTCAAACCAGCAGTTACTTTTATAATTCACTTAGCAGAGCATCAGGCACCTTGGCTCAGAAAGCTTTCCAAGTCTATTCCAAATATGCCCAGCTGAGCTTTGGGAACACCATAAAATGGTTGCTCTATTTCATTGTTCAGACAGACACTGCTTAAGATCTAACTCGAATTTCTACTTTGGAAGTAGAAAAGTCTTTTAAAGAAAAGTTAGCTCACGTCAAACTTGAGGTTCCTTTGCACTGTCAAAGTGTATAAAGAGCACTGATGTAAATATGAATTACACTCCTAACACAGTTACTAGCTGGTATAAGTTAGTTAAAGCCAATAATCCCCAACTTGCTGTGCTATTTTTATGTACTCAAAGCCCAGTGCCTTCTCTTGATCCCACGGTACAAAGCTGACCTGCACTCAATCCCTTCTGTGGATCAGCCTGGTGACAAGATTTCTGGATGTTCGTACACCACCACTGAACAGCTGCAGCCTGGAACAATGTCTGCATGCTATTGCTTGTTTATAACCTTTACAAACACACATTTCTAGTGTGCCTCTAAAGCACTTTGGAGAAAACACAGGCTTGCTCACCGTGTGCAGGCAGACTTCCAAGCCACATTCAGAGCCCAAGTTCCTTCTTGTCTACAATGGAACAACAGCACTGCTGTGCAATTCCTTATTCGTCCTTTACCATACACGCTTGCCATGCCCAAAAGGAATACAAGAATGCTACATGGACAGTCTTTACACTTTAACAAAGAGATTGATTATAATTTACTAAAGGTAAACAGGTATAAATCTGCTGTTCCTAACACGCCAAAACTGACTTATCAGTTCGCCTTTATGGCAATTTGCTCCAGTGGGCAGATCAAAGCCACACACACATTATTTTTCAGAGGGTTGCCAGTGTTTGTTTGTGGAATGATGAATTCCACATATTGCAACATCCCCTTTCCTCTGCATGCCACAACTCTGCTTCCCACTGGTGTGAGAACAGGATCAGGGGCAGAATCAACTGACCTCCTCACACCTCTCTTCCCCAGCGTGACCGAGTCAGATTTTACTGGGAGAAACATTTCCATAATAATCCGCCCACACTACTCCCTCATTTGTTTGCAATGAAAGAGTTAATATCTGTGACCCAAATATGGGGACCCATTTTAAACTTGCTGAAAATTGCTTTTTAATCCTAGCTCTCGAGGATTTCCTTTGAAACCATCTGCCATGCACGCTGGGTACTCTTTCCTGTATATGTGCAGGATTACTATAATATGGATTCTTTTGTGTAACTTAATACATTTCAGCATATTAAAAAATTAGTTGAAATTTCCATTCTTTTCTGATTTCAACTGTATGCCATAAAAATGATTGTAGAAGTCAAAACCACTGACAAGTTCACGGCAAAACCAACACCCATATTTATCTTATTTACTGCAGTATATACCTTGCAATTCTAATATTTAGTCAGTCTAACACTGTCTGGATTTAAGCAAATAGTTATGAGTTATTTAACTAATATAACTTATGCACATGCTTAAAATTAAGCTCAAGCATTTTGCTGGATAGGAATGGATTTAAGTATGTGCTTTCCCCATGCTTAAATTTCCCATCCTTACTTTCAGGACTGGAAGACACAATTAACATCATTATTATAGGAGATCAGAAAATATTTCCAAATATTACTTTAAATCTATTCCCCAGCTTTTTCTATTTTCTTGCTATGAACCTTTATGCAACTGGGTTTTTATAGCACAAATACTGAAGAGAAGGAAACAAGTCACGCTCCTAAAAAACTGAATCTTAAGATTGGTACATGGAACCATATCTATTTTAGCAAACACCCAAAACTTAAACTAAAGCAAGTAGATTGCTTCCTATCACAATAATCACAGCCAGAGTGATTGAAATAGCAAACATTCAGCAAGCTAGATTTAGAATTAATTTACTGGATCAACCTACAAGGTAAAAAAAAAAATTAAATCCCAGCACAATTATTTAGCATCTACAGTGTGAAACACTTTTAAAAATTGTGATTTGCCTGCAAATATGCAGAGATCAGAAAATAAGGAAAATTATCTATTTACACAGTTTTAATCATATAATGTGACATAAATATTTGGAAGACAGACAGGCCACAGCCTGCAAACATCTTTGTTCCCTGTAAACACACCTGGGTGCACCAAACCTGTGCATGGGCTTTGTGAGCCCCCCGAGTCCTCACTCGCTCCCACGACCAAGTTCACAGCCAGTCCCCCAATATCTGATACCAGTGAATGGCAGTGCTGGATCCCCCCCCAAAACATCCCCTTCCCTTTGATGCCTTTTCCCTGGAAAGGAGCAGTGCCAGATGTGATGAATATACAGGACAGAGCTACACATGCAGATGTTGGAAGAATGTAGAGAGGAAAAAACATGCAAATACTTTTGTTTCAGCAGTAAGAGATGTTGAAGTATCATCCTGCAGACACATTACTTTTAATACAATACTGCTCATAAAGTGAGGGGAGAGGACAGAATCAATGCCCAATTACCCAGTTCTTCCAGGTTTCCATTTAAATGAGATTCCTGGATGATTTTGTCCTTTTAATTTTCCTCCTCTAATAATTCTATCAAATAAGTTTTGTTGAAAACATCAGCAAAAGGAAAATCTGCTGTCCAAAAAAATCCTATAACTGCAGGTTGCAGGTTCTTAAAAATGCCACTTTACATGTCGTTTACTTTTGCATAAAGGCAGAGCATTCCCAAGATCCCACGGCACTGCTGGGATTAGACCTGAGCGACTGAGAACTGCTTCATGTCCTGACACATCTGCTAATGGCAAATGGATAGCAACAGACTAACAGTGCTATGGCATTTGCAGATAGATCAGCGCTGGAAAAACAACCACATGCAGAATAAATAGATTAAAGCCACCTTTCTCTGACCAAGGGAGGGATTAGATGAAGCCTGGCCTGCTCTCCAGCTGTGAAGTAACCTGCTTTCCTGCTGGACTTAATTTGCCACTCACATTACGGACAGTGCCAGTGATTCCCCACCTTCAGTCTGGTCAGGGATGTGAGGGACTGGTGACACCAGGGATGGCAGTGGGGCCACAGCTGCAGCCACAGAGCTCAGCCCTCCCCAAACGTGCCTCTTCACACACACAGGTCCCACCCCAAAGGCCAAAGGAGCCCTGCCCAGCCCTGCAGTGAAGCAGTGCCAGGGCTGGCACCAAGGGCAGGGCCAGCACGGCGTGAGGGCCCAGCAAACACTGCAGGGAGGACACCCCAGGGCTCTCTGAACAGCAGGAACCCACGGACTGGCCACCTACAGAGCAGCAGCAATTCAGAGAGGCTGCCAGGAGACGGATGTGAAGATATGGATACTGTACAGATCCTCTAGGATCTGCAGCACAACATCACACTGCAAGACCAAGGCTTAGGGCACGTTGGAACAAGAGCCATCTCCTCTCCATCACTTACACTGTAATGCTGCTACAGCGGCTTCTCAAAGGCTCCTGTCACCTCCTGTTCAGTCTCTCTGCAGACTGCACCCCCTTCTCCTCAATGCCAGGCTGCCACTAGGGCACCCCAGAGTCCCATTTACAGAATATTTACATCCCACCTCCCTTTACAGTGAATTAAATTGAATAGCACTAAGACCATAGGGCAAAAGAAAAGTTAGCAGCAGCCTTCAGGATGCGTGGAATTCCAAGTGGCACACATTTAAGTGAGTGCCGTGACACACAGCACCAACACCCACCAGAGTGACGCCCCAGCTCCAAGGCAGTGCTGTACCTCAGAGCCCTGCACCTCTCAGATGACATCCTCCACCCCAAGCATTTTCTGAACCAATTTGCTCAGCTCTGTCTAACACGGTCCCTCATTAGCACTACGTGAAATCCATACACAATTAATATCCCAAAAGGAGCTAAAGCTGCCCATATTTCTGTATGCCCTTGTAAATCTGCAGGATTTCAATAACTGCCATGTAAAAACCGTATTTCACCACAAACAAAAATCCTCACCAAAAAAAAGTAAAGACAAACCCCCAACAGCCATAACTGTTTACAGAGCAGCTTTCTTACAACTCACTGGTCCCCCAATACCACAAGAATTAGCGATGCAGAACTAATTGATACAAATCTCCTGAGGGGAGCATTGCTGCTGGTTATCTCGAGATGAGAAATTTAGTCCAGAAGGATAAATTGGACAGACAGCTGAAAAGCTTTAGTTCTCCTAGTAGAAAAGGAATTGATCTGATAAAGAAAGCCCTTAGAGGGATATTATCATGTCAAAAAGCAGGACTAGGAAAAACATTATTAGCCTTAAAAAAACTGAGAGAACTCTGAAAACTTTGTGTTTCTATCAGTACAACTAATTATTTCCACCTTCACACAAAAGATAAAAACCTCAAGATGTTAAAATTTTAACATTTCTCCCAGTTAAACTTGTGATATGAATATACTTATGAAACTGTCTGCTATAAAAATCCCTGTTCTATAATTAGCATTTTCATTTTTGCATTTAGCACTTATCAACTCCCCTTCCACCAAGAAAAATAAAAGTAGATATTCAGATATTTACAGACCCGTAGATTAGTTTTACTGCGCAATTCCTCAATTCCATTCATTACAATAATTTTTTGATAAAAAAATAACAGCAGTTCATGTGTAAGCCACAAGTGCAGCCTGCGTTTTTTTGCTCCAAGGTGCACATGTGCAAGATTTATTTTCAGATTTCAAGTACAGGATTACAAAGCTACAACACAGCAATGAATTCTCCAAATGTACCTGTAAGCCATGGAGTGTTGGCTCACCTGCACAGCCTGTGACACACAGTGAGACGCTGGGGGACTCCAGGACACGAGCCCCCAAGCTGGGGGCTCTCCCGAGGCTGCCAGGAAATCAAACACCCCAGACCAGCTGAGGGGAGAAAGAGCTCAGCAAGAGCTCTCAGACTGCCCAGACTGCCCAGGGGTGACACAGGGCCTGCTGTCTGTGTGACCACAGAGCCAGAGCTCCGCCAGCCGAACCAGAGGCTCCCAGGGACATGGAAAGGGAGATTTCCAACCCCCTTCTCTTCCCTGGCAAATGGGTTTGAATCAAGACAGGAACTGAACTGCATGACAGGTGAACTCCATGCTGAGTTGTGCTCACCCAGCCCAAGACAGGTGTCAACTCTGTGATTGCTGTCAGAGATTTGTCCTCCCTGAGAACCCTCCTGACCTTTATCTCCATGCCCCATGTGACACCCACACTTCAGAACACGATAAACCAATAACTGGGCACGTGCACTCTGTGCAAACGGAGCCATCCACTAATATTAGAGGTATGCTGCACAAAACAAGGGACTGAAGCACCTGGCAGCGACAGCAGCCAGAGAATGCCTCCTACTACTGCTTTATCCAGAAACAGTGGGTCTCGAAAAAGAACAGGGTCACTCAACACGTGACATGTTCAAACAAGCAGCAAACAGTGATGCAACTCTTGGAAAATACATAAATGTACTGTCACACACAGATTAAAATCATGCAGTGCTTTTTGGAGCGGAGGAAAAGGAAGCAGCCTCTCCCCACTCCTAAACCCATCATTTAGGGATGCTGCTTGCACAAGGTCAAGTGGCTTATGGTGGTGTTTCCAATTCTCCACCTTCTAGGGAAGATAACACACTGCAGAGCTATTTTAAGAACATCTCATTCACAAAGGTCTCCAATTCAGTCTTCAGAGAGAGAGATGATTTTCTTGCTGCTTCAACATCTTTACTGGCATGACATTTGCTTCAGAGGGAATTCATTTGCTGTTCCAACATCAGAATGAAGCAAGAGCAGCTGCCAGGAGAGGGATAAAAGGAACCACTGGTGACAAAGAGCAGCAGGGTCATTTCTGGTGCAAAGAAATATAGAACAGAGAGAACTGCAGAACTGTCACTTTCTCCAGAGAGCAGCAGGGGATAAAGACTTCCCCTCTGCCTCCTGCAACTGGTGTTTAGCAGCAAGGAGGAAAATGAGACAGAAAGGACTAAACAATCCGGCTGAAGTCTTTAAATGACGAATTATTACAAAGCAATTGTAAGCACCTGAGCACTCCCACTTAAAGCCAAGCTCATGAGCAAGTGCTGGAGGGAGCAGAGAATTCAGTAATCCCTCAGGACTCTCAAAAGAAAACACTTCTGGCTCCAAAGCTGTGCAGAGCATGAGTTCAGTGGTTGGGAGATGACAGCCCTGGGGATGATCTCAAGCCGCAGTGCTAATCTTGGCCATCGTATCTGTACGTGCAGCACACTGGACAGACCCCACCACAGACACTGCTCTGCAAGAGCCACGGAGGGCTGACAGGGCAGGGAAGGAACATAAGTGCCTGTAGAGCCTGATGTTCAACATCAGAGAGATGCACGATCGTAGATGACACCATCTGTCACTCACAGCAGTTGTCCCCTGCCCCATCCCAGGCACGTGAGTGCTGCCCTGCTGCAGGAAGCACCATTCCACCCTTTAACCACTGTCCAAGGCAGGGTCCCCTTCCCACACTGCTGTTCAAAGGCTCTCTTGGCCAATGTGCCTTTTGGCCTGACCAACAACCCTACACTAGGCCACCTGCTTGGCTGGACTACTGGATTTTTGTCCCTCTGTCTTATTAAAATGTTACCTTGAGAGGGCAGGGATTTATCCCTCATTCCACAAGATGAGCAGATCCTTGCCCTCTTCCTAGATGAAGACATACTGCCATTCTTGCAAGCATTAAGACAGAAACCTTCATAAATAACCAAAGTTGAATGAAGATATTCCCTCCCCTGCTCCTCACTGCATTTTATTAATGGAGTAATTTATTCTTTTCCAGTTTCATAGAGAAAAGGTTTTAAAGACAAAAACTCTGGGAAATTATTCATTGCAAAGAAAAGGAATAACATACTCCAACAGGAATTTTAATCCCATGATATTTCGTGTATATGTTTATTCTGCTGCACATTAGGATCACAGTTTATTTAGAGCATGGTATTTATCTGACTAACCAAAACCCCTCAGATTCACAGGCATCAGCACCATGCTTATGACACCTTTAGGGCTTCAGCATTAGGATTTATGAATTAAATATTTCCAGGGTGTTACAGAACACTGAGGACTGCATCTGCAGAGTGGTATATCAGGGTATGTGTGGGCTTGTCAAACACCCACATGATAAATTATCAATAGTGCAGCTCAGAGCACCCCTTTTTTGGATCAGAGACAAATCCGTGCATTTTATCATGCTTTGTTCCACTTGATGTAACCTTTTCTGCATTAAAGGATCACAAAGAGCCTACATGTCTAAATGCTGAAGGACATCCATACACAACTCACCACCAGAAGACTTATTCTAATATTCCAAGTTCTGTTTTCACAGCTAGTTCGTGTGTGACAAGGAAAAAAAGCCCACAAGGTATGTCTGGAACTGGACCATTACATTTTATATCGTGCAAGACAATACAATCTTTTGTGGAGAATTTTAAGGTTACAACACTGCTAAGGACCAAAAACAGGACTGGCTGATTACAAACTGTCCTCCATCCCTGCCCGTGCACAGAGAGCTGTCAAAAAGATTATATCCCTGCAAAGCAAGTGTCAAATCCAAGGGGAAAACAAATCTCTCAAGAGTCAGAAAAGACTACACTTGAAGCCGTGGATTTTTGAAAATGAACAAATCTGTGCCCTGTGTTTCTGATGCACAGTATTGACTTTTCTATATAGTTTTTACCCGAGTTTAGCACAGACAACCCCAGCTATAGCAGCATTCCCTCTCAGACAGCGGACTTGTACTGGTTACAGCACTCTTACTGTGAGGACAATGCTAAGAGACAGATGCATGTCCCCATGAACAACTGTCTTCAGCAGCAAGAGATCAGAATTGATCTGTCATGTTTCAGCAGCAGCAGTCACCAACTCTGTATCTCCAGGCCTCACTGGGGACGACAAACGAGCTGCCCTCAAACCAGGCTTGGGCAGGACCTCGTGCAGTGGCTCTGCCTGCCCAGTCCCAATTACCATGCTTGGATTTTGCCAGCTCGCCCATCAAGCAGCTCAGGCTCACTGAACTACGCCCAGAACACTCCTGATCCAAGTTCCAGGAGCCAGCTCAGGGATGAGCCCCCTCAGCAGCCTCACGCTTCTCCAGGGGGCAGGTGATGAGCCAGCCAGCACTGACTCACACCAGTACACCGTTCATTCACGCTGCTTTAAGGGGGAGTGGTTCACACAACTCACCGGGAACACGTCCACATTACAGCGCCCCACCCGGCGCTGCCCCCTCCGCGCGGCCCCCGCCCCGCCGCCCCCTCAGCGCCCACAGCAGCCCCGCGCGCCGCGTCCTCACCTCACCCCGCCCCGCGCCGCCATTGGCCCCGCCCGCCGCCCGTCAGCGGGGCCCCGCCGCCCATTGGCCGCCTGCCGCCTCTGGGCGGGCGCATCGGCCACTTCCGCGTCCGTCCCCCGGCGCCGCGCTCTGCGATTGGCGGAGTAGCGGCTCCTTCACCGCCCATCGGCGCCGGCCACTGGCGAGGAGAGCTGTCAGTCACTCGGCTGCCCCGCCCCCCGGTGCCATTGGCCCAGTAACCCCTTTTCGGGCTCTCGTTTCTCTCCATTGGCTCATGGGATCGGACGGGCGGCCGCGATTGGGCGAGCGGCGGGTGCCGGGGGCGGGACGGCGCTCGGGAGCAGCGCCGATTGGCCGGCGGGCCCCGGTGATTGGCAGGAGGGCGCGGGGGCGGGGCCGCCCGGGGCGAGGGTTGTGTGAGGTGAGGGAATCTCGCGGGGTCTCGGCGGCTCCGGGCGCGGCGGCGCGCGCTGATTGGCCGCAGGGGTCACGGGGGCGGGGCCGCGCCGGGGCGGGGGGGGCTCCGCACGGCCGCGCGCGGGGGGCGGGGCGCGCCGGGCGCCGCGCGCCGATTGGTCGGGGGCGGCTCTCGCGCAGCCCGGCGGGCCGGGCGCGATTGGCTGCGGGCGGCGTCGGGCGCGCGCCCCGCGGGGGGGTTGCGCGTGCCCGCGGCGCGGCGCGGGCGGCGGGACCAGGTGAGAGCGGGGCCGGGGCCGCGCGCGGGCTCCGCGCCCCCCGCGCCCCCGCAGCCCCGGCCGCGGCCCCTGCCCTCGCCCCGACCCCCCGCCCCGGCCCCGCCCCGCCGCGGGCCGCGCTGTCAGGGGCCGCCGCGTCCTGCCCCGCGCCCCCTCCGCGGCCCCGGCCGCCCCGTCATTCATTTGCCGCTTCCCCCCCTCTCCCTCACCCCCCCCCTCCGTCCCACCCCACCGCGGTTCGTGTCCTGCCCCGGCCCTTCCTTTCCTCCCTCTGTTTTTATCTTCTTTTCACCCCCCTCTCCTCGCCCCGCCGCCCCCCTTCACTTTCTCTTGGTCCTTGTGTGTGTTTCAGGCCTTCAAGGAAAAGTTACAAACTCCCGAGTTGTTGGTGCCGTGAGGGAGCAGGTGCCTGGAAGGAGGGAGCGATGTAGGAGGTGGCCGGGCTCAGGGAGGTTCGGGGGATCCATGGAGAGGGTGTGGGAATGGCAGGGCTAGGCTGGCCGGCCCTCGCGGGGTGTTCAGGGCAGAGGCTCCGAGCCCTCCCTCCGGAGGGAAGGGGGATTGATCGCGGTGTTTAATTTCTATAACAAGAAAAACGACAGAAAAAACCCAAAGTGAAGGAGAAAGCCCAGGCCAGCCCCAAGGCAGCTGCCCAAGGATGGAGTTGGAGTAGCCAAGCCCTGCTGGACGCTGGGGCAGGGGTTGGCGTTCGCACACATGAAGAGACTCCCCGAGTGGTTTGGCTTCGCCGGGAGATAAGGCCAGTGGAGCTCCATGTTTTTAAAGGTGGGCCGTGTACGATGAAACCCAACTTCTTTTAAAGTGTAGCAGATTTTAATTTTTATGGCCAAATGACAGCTTGACCCAGTTGTCATCCAATCAAAGGGCATTTTTCTTTTTTGTTGAATGTCTCTTTGTGGCACGACAGCCAACGCAAAAATGATGGCGGCTTACAATGGCGGTACGTCTGCGGCAGCAGCGGGTCACCACCATCACCACCACCACCACCTTCCTCACCTCCCTCCTCCTCACCTGCACCACCACCACCACGCGCAGCACCACCTGCACGCGGGCTCGGCCGTGCACCCGGTGCAGCAGCAGCATGCCTCGTCTGCCGCCGCCGCCGCCGCCGCCGCCGCCGCCATGCTCAACCCGGGCCAGCAGCAGCCCTACTTCCCATCGCCCGCCCCGGGCCAGGCCCCTGGCCCGGCCGCCGCAGCCCCAGCTCAGGTACAGGCTGCAGCAGCCGCTGCGGTCAAAGCGCACCATCATCAGCACTCACAGCACCCACAGCAGCAGCTGGACGTGGAACCGGACAGACCCATCGGATACGGAGCCTTTGGTGTCGTCTGGTGAGTAGAGGCAAGAACGGGCCAATTCCTCCTTGTCGTTCTTTACCTGGTCGTAACTCATCCCTGGTCTTGTCATTGGAGCCAGAACACCAGAAAGCTGCTTACTACTTCTTCCCTGTTCTTAGAAAGTTGGTTTGCCTGTTTGTGTTGGCAGAATGAGGCTCGGAGTGGTGAGGAACCACCTCTGACCAAGAGCCCACCCCACTGTTCTCCTCTGAGACAATGCAGCTTGTTCATGCCCTTTCTGTACCTTTAATCAGAGCGTGCATCTGTGCAGCTAAGCTGTGCTTCCTAAAACTTCAGGTTAACAACCGAGTACCAGAATATTCATTTTGACCTGACTTAAGAGTCAGAAATGAAAAGCGTATGAAAATGTCTTCCTTGTGCAGTCACCTGTCAAGATCTTTGTCTCGGCAGCGGTTTGACCCGCGGTGGTGCTGGGTGCTACCTGAAACAGCACAGCTGAACTTTGCTCCTCTCTCAAAAATGGAAATGGGATTTCCTGCCTCGCTGGAGCGCTGCCTCCGGCCCTTTTATCCCCCAGCTGCGCTTCAGAGGAGTCTGCCGGCAGAGTGGAATCCCTTCTCATGCATTTTGTGACCACCTTAGTGCCATGTATGTAATTACTGCCCTTCAGGAGCGCCGACACAAAGCTGGCAGGAGTCTTTTATAGATCTGTATTTCTGTTTCTAGCTGTTTGTCAGTTGGCCGTGTTCTGAGCTGTCCTTGGCAGCACGAAGGCACGGGGGTGTTCTGGAGAGCAGGCGCCCTGCACTTCCTGCAGCACGACTGCAAAGTTCCAGCCGTGTGTCGTGTGTGGGTGCTGAGCCCCCGCCGTGCCCTGGAGCTCGGCCTCAGGCACTGCCTGCGCTGCAGCTTCACCAGGGCAGCTCTTCCTTGGCCGGCTCGGGCTGTGCCACGCACGGAGGGCTCAGCAGGACAGGCCTCAGGAGAGCAAACCCCGTGTCCCTTCGGCACAGCCAGCCCAGCGTGGGTGCTCCAGCGGTGCTTTCTGGGCACGAGGTGCAGGTCGGTGCTGGGGCTGGGCTCGTGTCCCTCCCCTCAGAGCTGGGGAGCTCTGAACGCTGAGATGAGATGAGATGAGATGAGATGAGATGAGATGAGATGAGATGAGATGAGATGAGATGAGATCTCCCAGTCGGAGGGGAGCTGTTGTGCAGTCGGTACTGCCATGCCCTGGCTGTGGTACGGCGTTCGAAAGTGGACGTAAAAGAATGAAAACTGACAAGGAATCTGATGTAAAAAATTACCTAAAAATATTTCCATCTGTTTGTATCTTTTTGGTTTTTTTTTATAAAGTCTGGAGTTTTTTAACTTAATTGTTACAGGCTTTGCTTAAATTTAGGTTGTTATGTAAGACGAGACTTCATTACTGTTTGGTCCCGGTGTTCTGTTCACCTGTGCGTTTCCCAGGGCTTTATTTTCTCAGTTCTATTTGCTAAAAAATAAGGTGCAGAGAGAGATCTGGTTCTGTAATATTCAGTAGATTGAAAGGTCACGCTTGCATATTTAAATATATCATTAAGTGTGCCGAGGGGAAAAGGGAAGTGCAGAGAGAAAGGTCTGACTGGCACCAGGTAGGACAGTGCCGTTCCCAAGCCCCTGGCCAGGCACCTGCTGCCACCCAGCAGGAACTGCCCCTGGGGGACTCTGCCTGCAAAGCTGCAGCTACAGCTTTAATTTAAAGCTTGGAAAAGAAAACCAAAGGGGGAGGGTGTTTAATAAAAGCAGAAGCTGGGAGTTCAGATCCCTCTGGCAGAGCTGGGGCTGCACTGGCTCACTCGTTGGTGCAAGTGAGTTCCTCTCTTCTCACGTGTGTTTAAATTCAGTGGTCACTGCTCAGCTTTTGGCATTTCATACTAACTTCTGCCAGTGAGTGCAGGCTGAATTTAGGAGTGTGTAAGCAGTAATTTGAATTTTAGTTTCGTTCCAAAGGCAGAAGAATGCCTGTGTAAGTGAATTTTAGCTATGTGAGATAATGCAACTGAATGTAAACATTGACTTGGGTATTTATAGTTTGAGGTGACTTGGCCACAGGAAATGTACACTTGGGTCCAAGTGTGACACAGAATTCGTAAGGCCTGAGCTACTTTGGAATGAGGATTCTGTTGTTTGTTGGTATCTCTGAGTGTGTATTGGTGCTAATGGGCAACTTAAAAGTTCCCGTCAGTACTTCTGCGGGAAATGGACGTTATTCCACAGTTGGAGTATTTGCAAAATTCTTTCGTCTTCTGCTCTGATGTGTCACTGCACTGTGGGGAAGGTGCAGGTGACCCTGCAGCTCAGTCCCAGCGTCAGAGGAGCGATCAGCGTGTGCTGTTGTGCTTCCCGTTACCTCACCGAGAGAGATTTTCTCTTGGCAGTTGAATTAGCATTTGTCATTAGTTCATTTGTCTGCTACTCGATGATGTTTCGGGGGAGCTAATGTGCTGCTGGAGTTTTTCACTCGTGGAGAGCCAAAGCCTGGTGCTTCAGCACTTTCATTATTAACTCCTGCGGGCGGGTGCTGCTGCCGCTGGGTCTGCGCACACAGGCCGTGTCCTCACTCATCTGGGCACCATTTCCTTGGATATCAGCTGTCCCTGGCACGGCATCTGTGGATTTTCAAGTGAATCTAACCCCAGTTGGCAAAGTGGAAAGGAATCTCTTGAACAGTCGGCCTTGACCCACTGCATTTCTCTGTACTTGTTGGCTCTCAGTGTGCTGTAACGTGGTGCAAAGGTGTGCAGGGAGTGCAGTGCTGAGCTCGGGGTCCTGAGCTGGGCTGAAGCAGGGATGGGTGTGCAGGGACCTTTCCCCAGCTCCTGCAGGTTTACCTCACCACACTCTGGTTTGGCAAATTGCCACAAACCAAGTCATGTTTCTCATTTGCCAAAACCAGAGCAATTTGCTCTTGGAGTATTCCCTGCACACACGTTCACAAAGTGCTGAAGACATCTGGATGTTAGTGTCGGT